ACCTAATGGAACACTTCTTAAAGACAATACTCCCTTTGTAAATACTGATACAGCATATGTTAATTTAGCCATCTAAAATAATTCTTTATTATTATATATGAAAATATAATAACAAATTTAAATTCATTTTGAATTTCATTTAATTTATATTTTTAGGAAAAAGAAAATTAAAAAATATATATATATATACTTTTAATCTATCATCTAATTGTGCATAATCTTTTAATTTATCTTTTGGCAGTTTAGTAGGAATTTCTTTAAAAGCATTAGTCTCAAGATACACTATTTCAGCAAGTAAACCGAATACAGTTTCGGGTATTATTTGAAGAACGCGTCTCGCATATTTTTCTAATTCTCTGCTATAATATTGCGATACTGATGATAAATCTGCACTCCGTGCTTGATTTACTCTTAACAAAGGAGTTTCTAAAGCTGAAGCCATCTGAAATAAATTAAGCATAAATATTTGAATTTACAACAAAAAAAAGATAAAAAAAAATATACTAATATATAAATAAAATTAATTAAAAAAATATAAATAAATAAAATTTAATTAAAAACTGAAGTTAAAATTTACTTTTAAAAAAAAGTGCTTTTAATTTTATCACAGTAGGAGGATTTTCTTTTATGCTAGCTTGCATAGTATCAATAAATGATTCCATTATATTCCATGCATAACAACAATCTGTCACTATATTCAAACTTATCATAGTATCTTCTGTTATGTTTCCTGTGCGTAACATATTATGCAATATTTCCCGTGTATCAGCTAAATATTGCGATATATGTAAATTATTTTCTAATTGATGAAATTCTGGAATCATTATATTTAAAATTCAATATAATGTCAACATATTATAATATGTTATTATAAATTAAAATTTAATTCAAAATAAAAAATTAAATCAATTTACAATATTTACCTTGTACTTCTTCTAATGCTTGCACCAACTGCACTATTTTTCTTGCATCTTCTTGTTGTAATGAATCAATATGTTTACTTATCTCTAAAAACCAAGCATGCAGATTTTGATTTCTTTCAATACCATCAAGTGATTTATTACCTCCAAATATTTGTGCAAGATCTGTTATACGTTCAACACATGTTTCTTTATCTCTGAGCCACTTAGTTTCTTTACCAAATAATAACTAGAATTAAAAACAAATTTAATAAAACTTTTCCATATAATACAATGCAAAAACTATTAATCATACTTGTTTATATAAATGTTTAACACTTTGTTCAATCTGAGCAGTACTTAATAACAATTGAAGACAATGGGATATATTATATTTGCTTTCAGTTATTATCAATTGTTTAAGCATACGTGAACGTTTTGAATCTTCTAATGATATAGTTGACATTGTTGTATGTAAAAGTATCCAATGTAATGTTACATTGCATTCCCTTACTAATTTTACCAGAGAACCTATTGCATTCTCATCTAATGTCACTGCTAACTGTACTTCTTCTGTTTCAGATATTAATTCTAAAATAAATTTTTAATATAATTATTAATATATATATATAAATCTATTTAATTATTTATTTATTAATTTATTATTTACAATCTATCTAATTACCTTCATTTTTTGACCATAGTTTTGTGCAATTACTTTTACATTTGATGATTCTAAAGTATTATTGAGAGCTGTTCTTGCTGCTTTATATGGTAACCACCAATCACATAAATTTATTACAATTCCCATATAAATACTGATTACCCAGTTATCAGGAAAAAATCTATCTACTATTTCCCTCATTATAGCTGTGTGAGTATGTAATATAATTGGTTTAAATGATAAAATTATAACTAACATTGATGCTTGATTAGAGAGAGCAGTACTACGATGTTCTGGATGTGGAAAAGCAAGGCTTTGATTATATATTTCATCAGAACGTAAACGTCCAATAATATGTTCAATTAAAGAATCATTTAATGATACTCTTCTGTAAAATTTTTTAAAGTAATATTGATATCATTATGAAATGAAAAAATTTTAAAAACTTACTTGAAATAGTCTTCAGGATAATTTACAGGTCGTTTATTAGAAATTTTAGAAAATCCTGTTGATCGCAATAACATACATACATCATCTACTCTTGTAGAAGATGAACGTTGAGCATTGTATCGATAATAGGATACAAGTAATCTCTCTCTTATACATCCTTCGAAATGATAATCAACCAAAAGTAACATAACTCCATATAAATATACTGCTTCACACTATTAACATAACAATAGCTTTTATTTTTTAAATTTAAACATAATTATTTTAATAAACTAATAAATATTTCAAAAATTTTGATATAAATAATATATAATAATTACAATATGATTATTATTAAATTTGTAATATTTTATAATATTAATTATTTATAATTTTTATTAATATTTTTTTATTAATTGTTTTAAATAAAACAAACTACTATTATCAAACTATTAAATAAAAAGATTTAATACTTAATATAAGATTAATAAAAAAAATATAATAAAAAAATATAAAAGTATAAAAAATAAAATTTATAATATATTGAAAAAGATTATATATTCTATTTTCAATTATTTATTATTTAATTTAGATTATTTAATTAATAAATAATAAGAAGTAGTATAATACAAATTCTATTCATTTCTAATTAAAAAAATAAAAATATAAAAATATAAAAAATATAAAAAATACTTAAACTATATAATAATACCATTAATTGTCTTCCTTCTTCATTAAGCATAATAGTATCTATAGATTGGTGAATATACATTCCATCTCCTAATTCATCTACATAAAGATTCAAATCTGTTATATATTTGTGCACACTTTCAAAAGCTAAATAAAATCTTGAAATTATATCAGAAAAATTGTTTCGTAATTCTTCATCTGTTTCTTGAAGTATCTACAAAATATGTTTTGTAATTAAAAGAATTTCAAATAAAAAACTTTATAATAGAAATAAAAATAAATTATATAAAAAAAATAAAATATATAAAAAAATAGATTATTATTATTAAACTTATGTTCAATTAAATTTCATTCAAAAATAAAAGTAAATATTAAATTACATATTTATAGTCAATCATATTTTTAAGATTTAATTTGTACTTACTGGATCATTTTCTATTTTTTGTTCATAAGTACTAACAGATTTAAAATATATAAAATCAATTATAATAGATCCATATTTTTGTACAATTGGTTTTGAATCCAAACTGTAAAATAAAAAAAAACGTAAAATACTTGTATAATATATTTATAATTACATACAATGCCTATATAATGTCTATATAGGCAATACTATATCATTTTAAAATTATTAAAATAATTATTATTAACATTTCTATGAATAATAATATTTATTTTATCAATAAAATATATTTTATACTTAGGTATAAATAGGGTATAAATAACCTAAATACAGGTGGTACATAGTCCTTTAATCTCATTAATTCTGCTATAATAGCATTTCCACGAGATACCAATCGTAATAAATTTTGCGCACAAATATTATTAGATGTCAAAAAATCACTCATTTTGCATTTATTTATTTTAATAAAAGCAATTGATAATTCATAGACATCGTTCTAGCAGTAAATGTCAACAATCTCGTTATGAAAGGATTAAGAAAAACTATCAATAAATTGATATAAAATATATTTAAATTTAATGCAAATTAATTAAATTATAAATTATTAATAAAAAAATAATTTCATTGAAATATTTTTAAAAAACTCTATTGATAATATATATTTCATGAATTCAAAAAATATCTAACATCGATAACATAACGTAAAAAACAGTTTAAAATGCATAAAAATAAAAAATATTTTATTAAATATTAAATATCATTTATTAAATAAATAAATAAGTGTTTTATGTTTAATATTATACTATTATACTAAAGGATTATTAGTTTTATCAATATAAAAATATTATATTTTTAAAATGTAAAATATACTTTTTTTTTTAATTCTATTAACTTTTATAATTTTATTTAAACTTTTATAATTATTTTATGTTATATTTTTTATGATGAAAAGTACTTTATATTGTTGTATTCTATTTTCTATATCATTATAGCAAAACTTTTACATTTTATTTATTATATATATTTAAAATATATTAATTTTTTAATTCAATATATATTCTAATTTATTATTAAAATGATATAATATTATGTATTTCAAAACATATTATTATATAAAGAATAAATATTTTTGTAATTATAAATTATGTTACCATATAAATAGAATACTTAGTTTATGATATAAGGATCAATAATAATATAACCTAAAATATAAACAATATATAAGTGTACTATTTATTTACAAATTAAATTAATTTTATTTCATGAAATAAATATAATTCAAACATCCAAACAAAATAAAAGAAATATAAATTGCAAAATATAATTAAAAAAAATATATTAAAATTGTTTAAAAAAAATTTGATTCGATAACTATATTTAATTATATGATTATAATTTTTTAAATATGTTTTATAGAAATGTATCAAATTCTATTTGTAAATTACGAAAATTTGTTTATCAATCATTGATACAAAATTCTAAATATAAAAATCCTATTTTTTTGTAAATCTTTTCATTCTTCAACCAAATATCTATTTCAAATAAAAAATACAAGGTATAACTTTATATTAAATATTTATATAAAAAGTACTAGTTTTCAAATTATTTTGTTATAAAATATTTAAATACTATTCAATATATATATATATACACATAATGATATTAAATTTTTAATATATTTTTTATATTATATATATAATAAAATATAAAATAATATTATTATATTTGTTTTAGATATAGACAAAACGAAAAACAAAAAAATATAAATATATCAAATATAAATACAAATATACAAAATAATGTAATATTGTATAAGAATAATTCCAAGAAAGATTTTATTTTATTAAAAATGATTTTTTATGGATGGTGTATTTGTAATATAGTATTGATATTAAATACTTATAACCCAAAATATATGTCAACATTATTTGAAAATATATCTTGGATTGAATATATTGAAAAAAATGGACTAAATATTATATATTTTGCATATTCTATAATTTTTGGTAATTAATATTTATAACACATAAATTTCTTATGTTTAAAATTTATTGTAATGTATTAAAAATTTATTTATATGTCTATTTTAATAATCAGGGCCTCTTGCTGCTATATTAATCTATATATTAAATCATAGATTTATAAAATACATTATTTTACATAAAGGTGGTAATAATGTATCGATAATTACTAATCATATATTAAAAAATAATTATACTATGACACTTCCTATTAATAAGGTATATATTTTTATTTAAATTTATTATTAATAAAAATAATATTATTTTTATTATATTTTAGATTATTTTTATAACTCAAAATATTTTATATTTTTTTATTTTTTTATACAATATATATTTCATTAAATAAATACAGTTTCTATATTATATTTTTTTATTTTCAAGATAAAAGTTAAATTTGCAAGAGATGAAATGATAAGTTATTTACCTATGAAAATTCAAGGCACAATGTTTTATTATATTATTGATAGCAAAGGAAAGTTTTTTAAATGAAAAATTATTTGATTACACAGTTGGAAAAGCAAAAGATTGGTAGAAGTATTGTATTATATATATTGTATATATGTTATAAATAAATTATTATGAATTAAATATGTATTATATGAATTAAATAAATGAATTGAATATATAATAATTATTTAATTTATACATTTTTTTATTTTTATTATTTCATATATAATAAAAAATTGTTGGAATATGGTTTTAAAAATATGGTTTTTAAAATAATGATATAAATCTTATAAATTTATAATATGTATATAAAATAATAATAATTATTATTCTATACATATAATTAAATTTTCATTATGTTAATACAGTAGATATATATATATATATATAATATACATTTTTTGTTTTGAAATTTATGAATTATGTATACAATATTATATAAACACATTTACATTATATATATATTGCTTTCAATATCTTTGTTTGTCATAATATTTACATGAGTATTTGCTTAAACGATCACTATATCCATCATCATGATATTTATCTTCTGCTTTATAATATACTTCAGGTGTGGATCCTACATGTCCTTGCCAATATTTTGTCCAATAAAAATCTTCTGGATTAATATCATGTGGATGTTTTGCATTTCGAAATACATGTACACAATATATAAGACTTCCTATCAATGTTAAGAATCCAAACACAAGAAACACTATTCCCAAAATCCTAAAAAAAAATCCAAAATTTTTTTGTATCATATTAATATAGTATTTTTTGATATTATATATTAATATTATATTATTAATTTTTTTTAATATGTATATATATATATATATAATTAAACATTATTCAAATTTATAATACTATTTTACATAAATTGGAGAAATAGTAAAAGAAATAAATTACTTTTTTAAACATATACTTACCAAACTATCAATGGTTGAAAAAATTGAATGACTATAACAAAACCTAATGTAACAAGAATCAAACCAAGATTAAGAAGTAACATGAGACAGCAAATTCCTTTAGTATTTGGACAAAAAGGATTTGGTGTTGACATGGTTTCTATAATAATACCATCTTTTCTGTGTGTGTGAGATTTTGTAGAACCATAACTACAATGACTAGGTGCACGATGTCCTAATCTTGAACTTGGTGTTAGACTGTGATGGCTATTGATTAAATAATAAGTTTTATAATAAATATATATACATAAAACATTACACTTTATAAATCACATTTATAACCTTATATCTGAAGTTGCTCTATATGCAGCACTTGTAACATATATATCTGAGCCATTGTCGTATATGCTACTATGTGAAGTACTTTTTCTAAGAGGATGAAGACTGTGTCTTGAAGATCCTGATAATATTGAACCACGGTTGTTATGTATATTTTGTGAATGTCTTCCTTCTTCTTTTTCATATTTTTCTGAATGATTCTTCTTCATTGATTTTACCTATAAAATTTAATTATATATATCTATTTAATGTTATAGTATATAATAAATAATATGAAATTTATATATATATATATTATAAATTAAATAAATTATTATATAGATACATATTATATATTAATAATACATATATGTATATTAAAACAAATTATATTTTTATATATAACAAAATATTTATATCAATATATTATTAAAATTAATTAATATATTAATAAAATTATATATTTACAATTAAAGATATAAATTATATATTGTAAATATTACCATTGTAGTATGATCAGCAGATACAACATATTCAGATACTGTATGATCTGATGAAGCACGATGGCTATCATTTTCATCTGTTAAATATTCTTTATTTATATTACTATGATATCCTAAACATCTTGAACTATTTGTCATTGTGATATTTATGTTTGTACAATTTAACTAAAAAAAAAAAAATCTTAAGAAATGATTTAGTATATTACTTTATTATTAATAAATAAAAATAAGTACAAAATTAATTATATTAATTAAAAAAAATATATAAAAATTAAAAAATACATGTATTAATAAGCAGGTACACAATGCTTAAAGTCTTTGAAAATTAAATATTAAAGGAAATAGAATTTACAAAATTAAAACTTACTTAATAAATAATAAGTAATATAAAATAATATAAATTTCAAATAATCTTGATTTTATATTTAGATATTATGTGTAGCATTACCTGTAAAAATTATTATATGATAAAAAATGTTTATTAAAAACGTTTTTTCAAAATTATTATATTATCTCATTTTTTTATTAATATGTATCATGGAATAATATATTATAATTATTATTGATACAATGATACAATTATATTGATATAATGAATGTAAATATTGAATTTTTTAAAAATAATATAATGATGATAATATAGAAGTATTCTTCCTTACATATATAATATATAATATAATATAATAAATATATAATATATAAAATCACTTAATTGTAAGAATTAGAATTTTAGAATTTTTTAATTATTTGTTTCAATTCATTTGTTACGGTATTGAAATCCTAATTTAGTAACATGATGTCATTTGACAAGATCATATGCATTTTCAATCAATAATATAATGATTTAAAATGCAATTTTTATTTTTGCTCTAAATATTTTTTCATTCTTTAATTTACAATTTTTTTTGATGATTAATATATACTTTTAATACTTTATATCAATGTTTAAATTTCTATAATTCGAAAATAATTTTAATTAATAGATAAAATTAAAAAATTAAAATTAATAAAAAATATATTTTATTATATTAGAGAAATATATATATTTCAAAATTTTAATATATATATTATTTATTAAGTGTAACGAATCATATGGTGCAATTTTGTATATTACGAAAATTTTGAAGGATAATATTAAAATTTACCTGCGCAAGCGCCATAAATCGTGTCATCTTAGAACCAAACGCATATTGCTAATATTCAATAATTTATTTAACATATATAAAGATAAGAATTATATTTAATTAAAAAATACATATAGAAAAACAATATAATTATTATAATATAATTATTATATAAATTACATATTTTAATAAATCGTATTTAGTAAAACTGATCTTTATAAATATCATACCTGAAGTATTCATGACGAACAAGCTTGTTAAAGATTAAAAATTTTATGTATAGAATCAAAATTTAGATTTCATGTAATTATTGTATAATTATAAATTTTTATTTATATAAAAATTTTTTGTTTCATTAAAAAATATTAATCAAATATAAAATAATATTGATACATAGTGATTTTAGAAATAGTATGATATTAATAATATTATTTAATATATTATAACAAAACACTTTATTAAAAAATTTAAGTATTAAAATATATATATGAAATGATTTTAAATGATCTAATTTAAAAGTTACTGATTTATTCACTTTCGATAAGTATAGATAAAATATAACTGTGCACGTTACTGTAGCTTTCACATTAGTGTGAAGATTCTGAGCGAAAGGTGTATTTATTGCACCTTGGTAAATGAAAACACTTCGTGACGCCTTTAAAAGGCAAGGCAAAAAGCCGTCTTGTTTTTCTTCAATATTATTTTTTATTATTACAAAACATGTTTTATATTTCAATTAATAAATGATTTTTTAAGTTCTACTTTTTTTATCGTAAAAATTAATTATTATAGATGATATTAAGGTAACAATATTTTATTATTTTATTTATTAAATAATACACATATATATACATGTCTGCGTATACATATTTTTACTATAATTTCAATTTTTATAACATATTCGATTTATTATATATTATATAATTATTTTATTAAAACATTTTTATAAATTATAATGAGTATTAATTAATATGAATAATATTTATTAATTTATATAATTTCTTGTATTATATATTACTAATTTATATATATGATTATAATATTATAAAACGATAATCTATAATTTATTTAAAAAAATATTTATATGAAATATTTATATTTTATAGATTATTAGATATCTATAAATAATATATCAAAATTTCTAGATATTTGATAATATTCTATATAACTTTAGATCTCTTGGTGTTAGATTTATCATTAATATTTATAAATAAATTTCAATTAGGATTTTTAAATTATAATCAGTTACATATCATATCACTTGCGCATGCGTTAAAAATAATGTCTTATAAACTCCGCGCCAAAACTAAAATCTTTGTTTGGATTTATACATGTTACTAGATGTATGATTTGGAGTAAATTATTGGCGAATTTTTTAAATAGATAAATAATTTCTTATTAATTATAAAAATATTACAACTCTATTATTTGTACATGGAGGGTTTGAAATGTCCCAACACGGTGCTGCTTTACAAGCATATAATCAAGAACTTGTAAAGTGTAAGAAATATTTATATAACCTAACATTTATTTATTTATAATTGATATCACTATAAAAGATTTTTATTATTATTAATAATTTTATAATATTTTTAAATATATTTAAATATAAAATATAAATTTTCATTAGTGTTTATAAATTTATAGGTTATGAATTTATATATTTGAATATTATTTTGTTAACTATTAACTTTGTTTAGGTTTAGAAGAAATGAAATTAAGACGTACAGAATTACAAGCAGAAATTGAATCTCAAGAAGAAGAAAAAAATTATTTGCAAAGAGAAATAGAAAAATTATCTTATAAATTAACACGCTTAAATGACAGTTTAACTAAAAGAATAGCTGTCAGAAATGAATATGATAGAACTATTGCAGATACAGAAACAGCATATATAAAGGTATATTTTTTTATATTTTAAGGAAAAACTAGATTTATAATTTGTTATATATATATATATGTAATAATTTATTATCATAAAAATTTTTATGAATTTATTACAATTGCAGATTTTGGAAAGTTCACAACTTCTATTAAATATGATCAAGAGAGAAGCTACAAATTTAGATCAAACATTACTTAAAACTAATATGGATAAACAACAAAGTCAGTAATAAATGCAAAATAAAAATTAAAATGGGTAATATTGAATTTATAAATTAAAAAAAAAATTTTTAATCATATATTTAAGGTCACATATATCTTATTAAGTTTATAGTTGTAAACAGAGGAAGTTATTATAACAATTTTATAATAATAAATATAAAATTGTAAATATTTTAAACATTTGCAATATAGTTTCTAAAATTTTCAAATTTTTTATTTATATAATACTATGTTTTATTCTTTATAATCTATAATTTTATAATTATATTTTCCTTTTTCACATAAGGATGGTCTTATAAATAATTTTTTCTTGTTAATGAAATATATGAGATAATTTTTATATATTATTACATATTTGTTTATGTATTATATATTACATAAATAATTATTGAATTATTCAAATATTAATAATAAATTTTATAGTGTTTATATAAAAACATAATTGATTATTTATCACATAATAACTTATTGTGTACATAAAGACTGATTGTGTACATGAAGACTCTATGTATATCTATTTTCGAAACTATTTTTAAATATATTTTATAATAAATTAATTTTATAGAAGAATATATATATTAGAATTTATTTAATTAATTTTCCAATATTTTTAATATATAAATTCATTATTAATTCTTTTCAAAGTTTATAATATAGTTTTAAAATAATTTGTACACATTTAACATTAAATATTAAGTATTATTTTCAAACATATATGTATTTTTACTGATGATGATGATAACAGTAACTTGCATAATAACAATAATAATATTTTAAATTACTAATTAAAGATTATACAAATATTAAATAAATATTATAGAAAATAAAAATAAATAAGATCTTAATTCCATTATTTAATAATATTTTAAATATCATTTCAAATATCACTTTATTACTTATTTTTTATGTATTTAAACTTTTAACTCATATTTAAAGCATTTAATAAAAATATTTTGAATACAATTAAAAATTTAGGCATTACCAAGAGCTTTTTGTTCATTCCATACATTTAATAATTCAGTTGAATTACCATATCCATGGGAAGTTATTACATATTTATAATTAAATTTTGTATAATCTTTTTTGTAAAAATGAAATTCTTCACAATGAAAAGGTTCTATATTTGCTTTTTTTGCAACTAAGCCTAAAAAAATATCATCAAATTTGAAATGCTTAGTATAAAAACTAGTATAGTACATATCTAAAAGAGCTTCTTTAGACAGTATATATGCACCAGCTGTAACATATGGTGGCCATAAATGGTATGGGTATTCACTAAGAGAAACATACCACTTAGAAGATTTATGACGATGAGGTGAAGATATAAATACAAATCCTGCATATAATCTAATATCTTCTGGAAGTTCAAAATCAAAAATTTGTTTTTTTATTCTATTCAATGTAAATTTTTTGTCATTTTTTAAATTATTTTCCTGAATAAATTTTAATTTTGTATCATTTTCGTTACTATAATTAATTTTTAAAGTTTTATTATAAGTATCTTGTTTTAATCCATATACAATATGATCTCTGAAAACTGTCTTTTTTAATTTTTCATAAACAAATAAATCCTTTTTATTAAGAATATGTATATTTTTTTGTGTAATTATATCATTTAATTCTTTTTTTTCATCATTACTTTTAATTTCTCTTTTATGAACATCAAATTTTTTAGGTTCTTTTAAATAATCAGGATAATTAGTTGGATTTCTTATAAATCTCAAAACATTTTTTACAGAAACATATATATCATCATCAACAAACATATAAAATTTTGAATTAGAGCAATATTTTACTAACCATTTAAAACTCATCATGGTTTTATATGTATTATTGTAATATGATTCTATAAAATCTGCTTGTATAATATCTTTATATTTTGCAGCTTCAATTTTTACCTTTGCTTGAATTTCATCATTATGTGGATATATACCTAACATAAAAATTGTTCTCGAAGGTACATCAAAAAATCTTTTCTCAAAACCCCAAGAATTTCTAATTGCTGATCTTCTTTCAAAATTTTCTATTGCAGATTTTACTATGTACACAACATGAAAAATTTTATGTGCAGCATCTATACATTTTTGTTGATTATTCAGTAAAAATTTATATTTATATTCATTTATAGGTTCAATAGTAGGTTTTTCATTATGTCGTAATGCATTTACAAATTCATGTACATCACCTTCATATGGATAAACAAAATTTGAGTCATATGTAATTTCAAATAAATGTGTGAATGCTCCAAAAAAATCAAGCACTGTAATAAGACCAATACAAATGCAAACATACTTTAATTTGATTTTTGACATCAAACGAAGAATTGTTTCAAAACAAGGACATAATAAATAATACATCTTTATAAAATAATTTTACATAATTTTTGTTTTATAAAAATCTGTAAAATAATATTATATTATCTTTTTATATCCTTTTTATCTTCCTTTTTATATGAAAATAAAAAGTACTTACATAATTATTATATATATAAATTGCAAAAAAATTATTAAAATATACTTTAGTGTGACAAATTTATTAATATTTTATGCAATATTTTTTTCTTCCAAAATATATATAATTTCAAAGATGTATTTATATAAAATGTTTATTAAATACTCTTTGTTTATAATATTATTCTGGTAAATAAAATATTGCAAAATATACAATTTCGTTTATTGCTCAAATTAGTAACTTATACACAAATATATTGCTTTGAATTCATTGATTTACTAATGTTTATTAAATATTAGCGTATAAATTTTTAAATTTTAAAATAGAGATATAACATTGTTATGTTTTCTAACGTATTTTAAAATTAATATTTTATTTTATATTTTTTCAGTAAATTTTTTTCTTCAAATTTTGATTTATTACCAACCAAATATAACATAAGATTATTAAATTTTCAAAATTTTGTTTGTTTTATATTATATCATGTCGATATGAAAAAACATAAGAATAAAGTAAATATATTAGAATATATAATGAATATATATTATAATAAATATAAACATTTTCTGTTGATATTAATATTAATAATTTTATAATTTTATTCTAAAAATTTGCATAAATATGTATATAACATGTATATAATAAATGATAAATGATGAAAACTTTATTATTTTTTTGTGTCTTTAATAAATAAATTTTAAATAATATAATTTTAAATAAACAAAACATATGAATTATATTCTTTATATGTAATATGCATTATATTGATAATGAAAATTTAATTTTTCTTTTTTGTGATTTTATATAGTTCATTGAAGAAATGAAATATTATTATATTAAAATTTATATTTTAATATAAAAATGAATATATATTTACGTTGGTAATGAAATCTGGCGGGAAAATAAATATGAATATTAAAAATTATTAAAAATAAAAATAAATACAATGTATATTATATTCGTATATTTTAATGATCAATTAATAGAAAAAAATTTTAAAATAAGATGAAATATTTTTTTATATTTAATTAAAAGTATTAAAATATAATTATTTTTCTGATATAAAAAATTGAATATATACGTTGATATTATATGTATTATATATATTTAATATATTAATGTATTTATATTTAATTGCAAAAAAGTATTCTTTTTTTCCTTCGTAGTTACATTTGAATAATATTTTATAGTTTTTTGTTCATAAATTTCATGAATTTATTTTTTTAATTGTATATTATTTCTATAAGAGTAAATAAGCTCTATTATTTCGTCATGGATACATAATATTGTAATATTATAATGATTCATATTAAAGTTTTTTAAATAATTTATTTTTTCTTATTTAAATAAATTTATTTTCATTTCATCATTTTTTCATTGCATAAATTAAATTCATTTAATAAATTATGGATTTTTTTTATATTTCTAAGATGTATTTTTTCAGTTTTTTCTACCGTAATTTTTATATTTTATGTCAATTTAAAATGGAATTTTAATTTTACATTTATTTGTAGATTATTTTATCTTATCTAAATCATTTATTTTTATATTTTCATTTTCTTTTACAACAATTTCTTCAAATTCATAAAATTTGTCACGATGAATTAATTTTTCGGATCGAATTTTTTTTGTATTGTTGTTATTTTGTATTCTATCAAATATTTTCTGAGATTCATTTTATGAGATTTTTTTTCAACTTTCAATTAATAAATAACAATAATCATTTGTTTATATTTTTTTTTGCAATCAAAAAATCGGAATTTAGATTTGAATACTATTATTTAATTTATGCTTAATTATTTATAATTTAAAAAATTATATATTTATGTATAATTTAAAAATTAATTTAATTTTACATTAATAAAACAAAATAAAAAAATATTTTTATTTTATTTATTTTCAGTTAATATAAATAAATATTTCATTTTAATTTTAAATTTTAGCTTTAAATCTTTTTATTTATAATTATTTATGAAATATATAAATGTACTAAATATTATATTTTTATTCTTAAATATGTATATTCGTATTCATCTTGAAATTTTTATTACCAACATAAATATTCTCAATTTTGTGATTAATTATATGTTATTAATTTCGTTTTAATTTTGATATTGACTATTATTTTTGACTTATAATACCGTTTGCTTTTTTGATATTTAAAATAATTTTACAATATCAAAGAAGATAATAACTCTTCTATGAATATGTCAATTTTTATACAATTGGCATCTCTTTAATGTTGGTAAACCTTTGTTGTGAAGTTAGATATTCACTTCAAAAGAATCGGAGCAAAGATGGACTCCTAAGAAATTTTTATACATAGCGGTCATTCGACTTTGGATTTTCTTCATTAAATTTTCTTGAAACGTTCGAGATTATTCTTATATGACCAAGTTTGCTGTGTAAACAATGATTGTACAGGAGCCAGTGCAGGTAAAGTTAATAGAGTTCGAAAAAAAGTTGCCACTGACGTGTGATTTTCTGTTCAAATGTATCCACACTTACTGATACTGACATAAGAAATTAAAACCATTTACGCGTATATTTATTATACAACAGATAATTGATTTTGAATTTATGTATTATTTTATAATATATTATCGATTTTATGCAATCATAACATTTATCAGGTTATCACAGTTCTTATTCATTTTATATTAAATATATTTTTCTCAAGGATTGTTTCTTTAGGGTTGTTTGCTTTTACAAAATGGACATAAATAGGTGGAGATATGATTATAAATAAGTATAAGTCTTCAGAACATTTATGAATTTTTTATATTTTGCATTTAAGTGAAGCAATTTTTATGAGTGTTAACATGTAACTTTGTATATCAATTGTTAACAATAACAAATATGAGTTACACATTTTTTTATTTGTCAAGATATAACTAAATATTTTAATTAAATATGTATACATATTATATCAATATATTGTAACATATATGATTACAGGCGGCCATATGGCATTGTTTAAATCATTATGCTTATCCAGATGCAATATTTTTAGCGGAAAGGTTGTGTGCAGAAGGTAAGTTTCTTAATTATTTCTTATAACATTTAATTTTTTTTCTATCTAATTTTTATATTTAATCATAATATTATATTATTATTTAAAATATTTTATAGTTGATACAGAAGAAACTTTATTTCTTTTGGCAACATGTTATTATCGATCAGGACGAATTAGACAAGCTTATGCATTACTTTCCAAAAAAGCACCAAATTCTGCACAATGCAGGTTTCTTTTAGCCAAATGTTGTTATGATTTAGAGAAGTAAGTATAAAATTGATCCATTTTGCCATTTTAATGTAATTATATAATTTTAAATTTTAATCTCAGATATGCAGAAGCAGAAGCAGCAATAATTGGAGGATATTATAAGCAGTTAAAAAATTTGGAAGAAATAGCAACTCAATTTGGAGAACATGCATGTTTCTCACTTCAGATTATAGCGAAGATTTATTACAAGATGATGCGTACAGCAAAAGGAATGATGCACATAAATTGGCTTTGAAATTAAATCCATTTCTTTGGCATTCATTTGAAGAATTATGTAATGTTGGTGAAGTAGTAGATCCTACAAAAATTTTTCAGTTAGATAAGCTAGATAATTTTGCAATGTGCCATGGTAGTACACCTCCACCTACTTATACAACTGAATCTGATCTCATCGTACCTACTAATAATTCTAATAGTACACCTACTACAAATGGTACTAGTATGTAAGTATGTAATTTTTAAAGCATATAAAGATATAAATATTTAATATAAATATGTTATATATATTTTACAGTACTCCTGCACAAATGACAACGGCATCAACTATAATCAATGGTGTGGGACCTGGTATACGATTATATTCTACAGATGAAAGTCCACAAACTTTGTCTACACATTATACTAACTGTTCTTCAATATCACCAAGAGCTAAGCTTCCACGGTATCGTAGTATGTTCAATAATACAATGAGCCCTCTTACTCCAACTTTTGGCATTTTACCGTTGGAAAGTAATACACCTGAACCAACAGTTTTACCTTCACATACTACTCTTACAGAAGCTAATGATCAAAAAAGTTTAGCAAAACGTGTTAGTAGTTTAAGGGCTCATGTAGGGGTAAGATTTGAGAGTAGTAATTGTTAAATTTTTAAAAGCATATTGTATAATATACTAAATTATACATAAAATATTTTAATTTATAGCAATTAATGTCAAGAAAAGAAACTCCTTTACAGCAAGGGAAACCAGTATTTTCACAATCAGGAAATACGAGTAATAGCGCAAATATAGTAACAGTTACACCTACTACCCCAACACCAGCAGCACCAACACTACAAGGAACCAATGTTAGACGTTCATCAAGACTCTTCAGTCATAGCTATTCAGTCAAGGTAGATTTCTTTGTTTTATTGCAATTTTTCATTTTTAATTTATATTATATTATAAATGTATTAGATGTATTATAAATGCATCTAAAAGTAATCTTTTTTTTTTGTTAGGAAAATAATAAATCTCCAAATAGAAATAAATTTGCTACTCCAAAGTCTCCATCTCGTAAAACAAAAGCTAGACTTTCAAAAACTAATTTAAATAAAGCTAATTTTAATGAGTTAAATGAAAGAAATCGAAATGAAAAAGAAAAAACTGAAACAATTACATCAGAAAAAGCTGTATCTAGCGTAAATATATTAAATAATCAAGGTAGTACTAATATCTGTGCAGTAACACTTCAAAAACAATGTGCTGGTATGTTTTTAATATAATTTTTAATATAACAATTTTGTTTTGGAAAAATTTTTTTTATGAATGTAATTTTTATACACAGTATATATAAATGTAAATTTTTTCAGAAGGTTTAATGTCATTATTACAAGAATTAGGATTGGCATATCAACATTTAAGTCAATTTAATTGTACTCAAGCTGTTGAAATATTAAGCGTTCTTCCAGCACAACATTATAATACAGGATGGGTATTATCTATGCTAGCTCGTGCACATTTTGAAATGATAGATTATAAGAAAGCTGCTAGGTTAGTTTTATTAAAACTATAAAATTTGAAATTAAATTATTGATAAGAAATTTTAATTTAATATTCGTTGATAGTTATTTTGCTGAAGTGAGACAATTGGAACCTCAAAGGACTGAACTTATGGAAATTTATAGCACAGTTTTATGGCATTTGCATGCTGAAGTACAATTGTCTACTCTTGCACAAGAACTTGTATCTGAAGATCGTAATTCTCCAGCTGCTTGGTGTGCTACTGGAAATCTATTTTCTGCACAAACAGAACATGAAACAGCAATTAAATTCTTTCAAAGAGCAATTCAAGTATGTTTTTTTTTTTTATATTTCAATATAGATATTAATTTTTGTTTTCATATAATAATAATTATATGTTTCATATAATAATAAATTCATATTTGAAATGGAAGTTTTGTTTTTCAAATATAGGTAGATCCCAATTTTCCATATGCTTATACACTACTTGGTCATGAATATGTTTTGACAGAAGAATTGGATAAGGCAATTACTGCATTTCGTAATGCTATCAGACTCGATCCTAGGCATTATAATGCATGGTAAATTTTATATTAAATTATATATGAATATATATATATATATATATGTATATATAATTATAACTTAGATATGTCTAACATTATATTAAAAGAAAAATTTAGATTGTTACAAAATTAATTTTAATAACAAAATAATTTTATTGTTTTATACTAAAAAAATTTTTCCTTGTTTTAGGTTTGGATTAGGAACAATATTTTCTAAACAAGAGCAATATAGTCTAGCAGAATTGCATTTTCAACGTGCTTTACAAATTAATCCACAAAATTCGGCAATAATGTGTCATATCGGAGTTGTGCAACATGCATTAAAAAAAACTGACGAAGCTTTAAAAACTTTAAACACCGCAATTTCAAATGATCCCGATAATACATTGTGTAAATTTCACCGTGCAAGTATTAATTTTTCAATTGGTCGCCATATGGAAGCACTTAGAGAATTTGAAGAATTAAAAAATATTGTACCCAAAGAATCTCTAGTCTATTATTCAATAGGAAAAGTAAGCATTATTATGATTTTCTTATATTATGTTTCATATTTTATATTCTCTTTTTTATTTTTGTTCTTTTTTTTTTTTATATAGGTACATAAGAAATTGGGTAATACCGACCTTGCACTAATGTACTTTAGTTGGGCAACAGATTTAGATCCAAAGGGAGTCAACAGTCAAATTAAAGAAGCTATATTAGGTCCAGGTCAAGGAGAAGAAGAATCTCCAGCAACTCAATCAGGTAAATAGTTATAATACTTCGTACAAATAATAAAAAATACAATAAAAAAATTTTATATAAATGAAATTTTATTATAAAAAAAACTTATTGATATTTTTAATATTATTATCATATTATATCTATACATATATAGACGAACAACAGATGCAGAATAATTCAATGGAACAAGAGATTGAAAGTAATAGAGAAGCAAGTGCCGCAGGACTCGCTGCAAATGTCTCAGTTGAAGCTCATGCCGATGACAGCGACGATAGTTTATGAAGATATCCTATTGTGTGCAAGATTGCTATAAAATGAACATTATTGCGCGTCATTATTTATCTTTTGTGTTGATCGATTCGATCAATTTTTCAACTAATTTAGCTCATTGTGAATTCATATTTTTGCGTGTATTTCGTCTGAACAGTGCTTTATTATTAGACTTTTAATATTTATATTTTTTTCTTAGTTCACTTCTTGATAGTGTTGCATCTTTTTGAGAAGCTAAAAAATAAGGTAAAAACCATTCTTTGGAACATATTGGTTATTTTTTCCATCTCTGAAAAAAGGTATTTAAATGATTGATATTCTCTAAGAGAGAAAAATGTATGAATGAGAGAGAAAGAGAATGCATGGAGAAAGGAGCGAGACAGAGAGAGAGAGAGAGAGAAAGAGAGAATCAATAATATCTATTTCATCGATTTTGTACATTACGCGTTCTACTGTATATTTTTTACGATTGCTTGTCTTACTTTTATATATATATGTTCGAATGTTTAATCACTTTCGTCGATTTACGGTTGAATATAGACTGTATTGTGTGTATGTGTGTGCGCGCATATATGGGCGAATGTAAATGTAAGCATGTCGTAATAGAAAAACGTAAATAGATAGGAAATATAATTAATTAATTGAAGAAGTATAAATGTAAATTATTATTATATTATCAATATTATTATCACCATTAGTGCTACCAGTACTACTATTCATATAATTACCGTTGCCGATTTAGTGATAACAAAAAAAAAACAATAAAAAAAATATTTTTGGCCATTTTAGTGGCCATTGGACGATCGTGCAATTCTCGTCGTGAAATAATCATCGATGGATTGATCTTCTTGAACTGGTTTGATAAAAAATAGATAGTTTCATACATGTCATTGGGTAATAGATCTAAATTATTTTGATGATCGTAAGCGAGTCAAAATCTATTTGTACTTGCGAATATTTATTAAAATCCTGAAAGTCTATACCATATCTTTATTGATAAAAATTTTATTATTGTTTTGAATAAAGTATATATTCTATGATTATGAACTTTTGCTGTACAGTAATGATATATTATGATCACTTTTAATTCTGGTGTATCTTAAATTTATTTCTTCTTTCTAATGCAACTTTTTGCTATTTTTATTGAATATTTTATAATCTTATACTTTATTAAAGATTGATATGATAGAAACACATAATTAATGTTTTTGTTTATATAAAATTATTTTATTCCGAATTAATTAGATAATTTGGTATAAATTTATGTTATAGACTTTTTGGAAGGCTTGTTTAACAATCAGATTATTTAAGTGTGTGCGAGAAGAATCTTTTTATCACGATATGATACGTTCCACGACGGTATCTGGTGTTCATGTTCATAAGAAAATACATGTGCCGTGTTTCAAACGCGTTAATGAGGCGTTGTTGTGTTACCAAATTCTATCTAAAGGTATGCAATTTTAATAACGAAAATGATTTATGCAATCATGCTGCATGAATAATTACACGAAAAGATCATAGCATTTTATATTGTATAGATACAAAGAAAAGAAATATTGATAGAAAAGAAAGAGAAAAAGAGAGAGAGATAGACAAATAATGAAAAGAATAGATGAATTGCTGACTGAAATCTGTATATATATATAATATATGTAAGCATACATATATGTGTGATATGACATCTTGTCCCTCTTAATTTTTGAATTTAAGCGTATCCCAATTTTTAAATCTTGCAGATTATTTATATATATTCAGTAAGCTAGAAAAAAATCTGTGTTATGTTTTTATTTTTTTTATATTTATAATTTCTGTATCAATTTAAAAACTCACAAATTTAAAGTATTATAAATTAATATACAAAGAATAAGATTTGTTACTATTTTTATTTAAATTCTTTCTCTTTGTATTTAAAATATAGTCTTTGTATATAAAATATAAAAATTACATTCAGATGATTAACAAAATTATTTTATTTTTTAATTATATATTTTAAAATTATTTTATATTAAATTAACCAAAGAGAAAATCATCTAATTTTTACAATGAAGCTGACAAATTCTATAAAGAAAATTATTTGATTATTTTCTGGACTTCGAATTGAGATACGCTTCCTGATTTCGATTTTTATTGTGCTAATATTTTTTTTGTTTTCTTCGTATAATTTTATTTATTTATTCGTTTATTATCTTTTCATGTTTTTTTTTTCACATTAGATAAAACAAAAGTAACACGACTATATGAATAAATAATCGAAATTTCTTTTTTTGATTTATCCATGATTGCCTAATACACCACAAATATAAATCATAATATGGAAGAGAAATTTCGATAATTTTTCGATTTTATTATGATAAAAAAAATTTTTAAGAATAAAAAAATAATTGAAAAGATGGCAATTAAAGTAGTTGAATAAACTCTACTTTTTCAATAAAAATTTTTTTAATAAAATAAAAAATTTTTTTAAACATGCTATAATAAAAATAAAAATTGTATTATGAAATGATCTATAAATAAAATATGTTAATTCAATTCAAATTAGCTATATATAATATAATTAGTATAATTAAATCTTTCTAAATTAATTCTTTTGATATTACTATATAATATTATTAATAACTTATTAAAAGATGGTAACTATTATAAAATTGATAAAAAAAATTATTGACAATTAAGTAAATAGCTAATAAAACAATATTTAATAGGAAGAAAAAACTATATAATTATAAAAATAATCGTTAATGAAGTTCTGGAAAAATATGTAGTAATTAATAAAATATAATTATATAAAAATAATTTATTTTCTTGTATCAAAGAAAATTTTGAACAAATTAAAAATTTGATAGATATAATAAATGCTATTTATTCACACATCTTTTATAATAGAAAAGTTATGACGAAATAAGAAATATTTTTAACGAAAAATCTCATATCGTTATCTGTGTTAATGCTCTTAGTTTTATTATATAACTTGTAATGCATATCAGCTGCAAAACATCAGTGTATAACTAATGAAGCTAGGATTTAAATGTGTCTTTCTAATTTTATAACGAAAAATTATATTGTTTATGTTTTAACGAGTTTTATAATTAATTTTTTATATGTTTTTGGGTGTTTATGAGTCATTAATTTTTAGAAATTGAACAATTGTCTTTTGACGATTTTTATGCATTTAAAATATTTTTGTACATTCGATTCTGAACTATGGAGCATGATTATGTAGAAACTGGTAAGCATATATTTACAAAGTGATATTATAATACTATAAATATTTTCTTATTAAAAAAATACCTATAAATTTTTATTATTATATATAAATTAAGATTTCTATAAAATAGTAATTTTTTTTAAGTTCTTGGGAAGAAAGATGCAAATCAACTTGGAAGAACTCTTACACATGAACATTTATCTATGTCCTTCACCGAGTTCTATGTTCAACCCCCATCTCATTTGAAACGATTTTTCGATGACAAAATCGAACTTCAAACTGTTGGAATTCTAAAGCAATATCCGTAAGTAATAATAACAAATAAAATTCTGTTTTTTTTTTATTTTTCGTTTGTATTCTTATGTATAAATATATTCATCCTTTTATTTTCAAATTATTTAGAAACAATAAACAATTTAAATATTTTGAAAAATATAAAAAATTCTTAAATAGAAATTATATTGAATAAAACGATTTTAATTTTTCTTTACAGTTATAGTAGTTTATATAATTTAATATATAACGATCGATATACGGAAGATGCTGTTTTGGAGGATGTAAAATTATATAAAAAATTTGGTGGTGGTAGTATTGTGGAAAATAGTAATTATGGTTTAAAACGCAATATTCCATTTATGAAAAAAGTTAGTGAAACCACTGGAATTAATATCATTGCCGGGACTGGTAAAAGATTTTTATAATTGTAATCTGAGAATATGATGTCTATTCAGAAAATTACATTTAAATTAAACTTATTTAGAAAATATTTACTTAGAAAATATTACTAGAGTTTTGTATAAATATGCAAAATTCCAATGAAAGTAATTTCTTTGAAATCAGATAATTTTTTTTTAATTATAAGTTTTTTTTTTAATATTTAAATAACGAATAAAAGACCAAATATTTTTTGAATTGACTTTTCTATATTGCTCTTTTTTCATTTCTAACTTGTTCTTTTTTTTCTTTCATTCGTGAATAAATGAAAGGTTATTATGTTAGTGCGACTCAAACTAATGAAAATTTATCAAAAGAAGAAATGTACGATGTAATTTTAAAAGAATGACTATTGGTTGTGAAGAATCTCCTGATGTAAAAGCGGGATTTATCGGAGAAATTGGAAGCACTTGGCCAATCACAGGTATGTAATTTATGTTAAATATAATTAAATACAATTTAATAAATTCTTAATCTATTTTTATAAAATAATTGATTTTATATTATCATTTATAATATTCTAATATTTTAAGATATTTAATCCAAAGAGTGAAAAAAAGTTAACTAATTGTTGCAAAATATATTTTTTGAATTTAATATTTTTATTCATTAATAAATCATTAATATCTTTAAGCATATTTAAATTAATCATATAATTACTTATATCTAAATAGCTTTTGAGAAACGGGCTATCCAAGCAACTGCGGAAGTTCAACATCAATTAAAATGTCCCGTCAGTTTCCATCCTGGAAGAGATTCTGCAGCACCTTCTGAGATAATGAGAATCTATCAAGAAGCTGGTGGAGACGCGAGAAAAGCTATTCTCTCTCATCTCGACCGTAAGTTTAATCTAGTATTATTAAAATATTGATTGTTATTTTTCTGTACTATCGATTTTTAAATATCTTACTTCTACCGAATTAGTTTTTCTATTAATTTTATCATAACATATTTTATTAAAAATAGAATTGTTTATATCTTTTAGTATTTTATTTTAGTATTTTAATTTTTTACTATAATATTAAAAATATTAAAAATTTTACGAATACTGATTTATTTAAATTCTTTTATCAATTTCGATATTGCTGGTCACTGATAAATTCATACTTTTTTTTATCAATTTTACATAAAATATCTCTTTTTTCATAAGAGTCGGAATATTGATAGAATTTATTGTAAGAATTTATGGAAAGAATTTATGATTTAACTTAATATTTGTTTTTTGACATGTTCTATTTTATTCTTTTTCGAGCATCTGATCTTTATCTTACATCTTATATAATATATACATATATTATTAACTTCATTTTAAAATTCATAACTTCTGTTGATTTGATTGAGTATTTTATTTTCATTTACATATTTGAAATATAGGAACTATACTCGGTCTAGAAGAACTTTTGGAGTTTGCTGATGACGCGAAATGTTACTGCCAATTCGATCTGTTCGGAACCGAATGTTCTTTTTATCAATTAAATCCATCGATTGATATGGTGTCTGATGCACAACGGATTGAGCGTGTTAAATATTTTCGAGACAATCAAAAATTGGATCGCGTGCTTTTAAGTCATGACATTCATACGAAGCACAAATTGGTATGTAATAATTAGTAGATGTATACATACTAATTAGTAATATGCTAATAATGTCTTAGAAATAAGTAATTATATTGTTTAAATTAATTTATCAATTTTTTTTTCTAAATAAAAAAAAGATAAAATTTGGTGGACATGGATTTTCTCATATTTTGAATAATGTTGTACCAAAAATGATCCTGAAGGGTTTTGTTCTTGAAGAAATCGACATGTTAACTATTCATAATCCAAAAACTTGGTTAATATCCTAATTATTTTTATTGAAATGTATCATAAAATCGAATTAATTTTTATACTAAGCGCAAAAGAATATATTTGTATTCATAAAAAATTCTACTGCAAATAAACTTTATATCTATAAACATTTATAATAAATTTATTGATTTGCTAGAACGCACTAACTCGACCATAATATGCAATAATTTTTTAAACTAATGCAAATTGAAATTTCCATGGCTCAATTTTTTAAAAAATGTTTTTTAAACTGATATTTTTAGAAACAGTTTTCCAATTTTTTATTTAATTATAATAATGAAAATTAATAAACTTATCTATTTTTTTTTTTTGAGTTGACACATTGATAAGAATTGTTATAAAATTATTTTTTATCATTTTTTATCATTTAATACTAATTATGAGAAGTAAAAAATACTTTTCATAATTATATCATATTTTATATTTATCTTTCTTATACCGTTTTAAAATATTATACTTTTAGAAATTGCAAAAAAAAAATTATAAAGAAATATTTATAAATATATAATAATATATAAGAATATGAAAGTATATATATATATATAAAATGTTTACACAGATAGAGATATTAATTTATATGCATGTTGATCTCTTGTGCAATATATACACAAAGAGTGTATGGGAAAAGGACAGAGATAGAGTAAAAATTCGGGAATCAGCGCCATCTTCAGAGTGCCGCAAATGAAACATAAAAAGAAAGGATAGAAAATAGTGTGAGAGAGATAAAAATAAATAAGAAATGATTACTGTCGCCATCTTTAAAGTACTAAGGATACTTCTTTAACGTTATCTTTTTGAAGTTCCTCAAGAGATGACACTTTTCCTTAATTCTTACTCTACCTTACCTTTGAAAAATGTTCAGAAGTTATTCAAGAATTGGCACTGTTGGTTAATTTTTTAATTCTACCTTATCTTTCTTTTCCATTGCTTTTTTCATATTTTTGCATCATAATCATTGTTTCTTATGAAAGAATTTTTTATATTATTCGTTTAAAAGTAGAAAACGAAATGTAAATGCTAATATCGATCCAAATGAAACTAATCACGAAGAAAATAATAAATAAAAAAGAAAAAGTAAATGAATCTAATCCACATATAACATGAAATTATAATATAGTAGAAAATATTTATATAATTTTATACATATATAATAAATTTATATTATATATGTATGTAATTATATATATATAAATATAATATAAATTTTTAAATTTATATATATTATATTTATATCAATATAAATATATTCTCTAAGCTGAATCAAATAGATTCTATTAAGATTTTTAATTAAGAGAGATTAAACAAAAAAAATAATAAAACTAATTAAATATAGTTATCTTTAAAGCACATAAATTTGTCATAGCAAATATAGCAATGAGTAAGACAAGGAAAGCAAACGGTAAGAGAAGGACAGAGATAGAATAAAACTACTGCCATCAGTGCCATCTTCAGAGTGCCGCAAATGAAACACAAAAAGAAAGGACAGAAAATAGCGTGAGAGAGATAGATATAGGTAAGAATTATTTGCTAGCGCTATCTTTGGAATAACAAAGATATTTCTTTAAAAGGAAGATAAGGTAGAATTAAAGAATTAATCAGCAGTGCCATACCTTGAATAACTTCAGATATCTTTCAAAGATAAGGTAGAGTAAGAATTAAGGAGAAGTGTCATCTGTTGAAGAACTTCAGAAAGACAACGTTAAAGAAGTATCTTTGGCACTTCAAAGATGGCGACAGTAATCAATTCTTACCTATTTCTATCTCTCTCACTCTATTTTCTGTCCTTTCTTTTTGTGTTTCATTTGCGGCATTCTGAAGATGGCGCTGATTACTGAATTTTTATCTTATCTTTATCCTTTTCTCAGTATTTCCTCTCTTTCTTTCTAAATATCTATACTTTCTGCTCAAGACGTATATCTTCGATATTTATATTCTAAAGTATGGATATTCTGATAGAAAATTTATAAATTTTGCAACAAATTACTGAAATTAGTTATCAAATATTTTTATTAATTATATTTTCTATGTTGAAAATAAATATATATATATTTATATCGCTATTCATTCATTATTTTTTGCAACAAGATTGCAATTAAAAGTCGATAAAAAAAATAAAAATAAGAAACATTTGTGTTTAAAAGAAACTCAAATTAATATTATTTTCTGTGATAAAAAATATATTCTAATTCCAATAATTCCACTTTTTAATAAGGGTATTAGATATTAATTATTCATGACTTTTTCTCATATGATAATAATAACACGTGCAATAGATGATTCGCAATCGATATCGCGATATCTTTCTCTCTGATATCTTCAAATACACTTGCGTACGAAAGACAGATTAAATAGTGCATTTAACAGTGCAGGATATAAATTATCGGATCAACATAGACATATTCGTATTATTAGATTATACTTTAAATATAAATACATAAGCTTACCTGTGACAGAATACCATTGTCACTTCTCGACAATGATTATTATGACGATGAAATGATACGTGATCTTATGGTGGCAACAAATTTATTCACTGGTAACGTATTGCACTATTGTCTTTCACATGGTAAATAATCAAAAATTAATAGAGTTTGTAATAGTTATTTTTATACAATTATTGTATACGTCACTATTTTCATGTTTTATAACTGAGTAACTTTAAAATTGTAATCAAACAGAAGAAATTAGAAATGTAATCAAACAACCCTCTTATTATTAAAATTATCCTTCTATTTATCATTTTTATATTTTACACTTTTATATAAAATATATATTTCTCGTTTTCAATATCTTCAAAAAATATTAATTGCTATAATATTTCTGATTTTTTTACAGAACACATTCATAATGTATTTATCACCTATCACCTTAAAACCTTATATTATTTTAAAAATTCTAAAAATCTTCAGTTTCTGTCAAACAATAATTTTTTTCAATTATATTTTTAAACGTTGAATGAGATAAAAGAAAAAACATAATCAAATAAAAATGTGAATTTATCGTGTATTACAATGCTTCGATATAAAAATATCAATAGACTCTTTTGTTCATCGTGAGATAATTTTTTTATACATATAAAGCACGAATTCACTCTTATTTTTTTTTTTTTTTAATTCAAATAACGTTGAAACTTTCATTGACTATCATGAACATTTGTTCGTTTTAAAATTCTGATACGTACTTATTCCAGTCTACGGGATATATACGTGGAGAGGTGCTGATATACTGATATGGTATCGATATTGATACGCGACATACGACAAACCTAAGGTGAATACTCAACGTGGAAAACGTGTTCGCAAACATTGTTCACTAATAATGTTCAAAAATATTTTATGATCATTACTGTAAAAATTGCTCGATATTCACGAATATTTATTTGAATTTATTATCTCTCAATTCTCTTTTTCAAGTTTTTTCAAATAAATATCTTTTATATTATCGAGTATATTTTGATGCTTAAGGCGCAAATTAATGATTAGGATATTTATAAGAAATGGAATTTTTAAATGTGTAAAAACAATAAGTGAGAAAAAATATAAGTAACATTAGAAATTTCTATAAATGGAACAGAATATTTTAATTATAAAGAATATAATATATATTATTTAAAATAGCCAATGAGGATTTGTTTTATTAAATAAATTCAAGATTGAACTCTCTCACCTACCCTAATTTTTTTTGATCATTTGATATTTGAAAAAAAATTCTTGACATTAAGATCAAAGATATTTTAAAGATCAAAAATACTTTTTGAATTAAAATTAAACATTTCTCAAATTTTTTATTCACTTTTTTTGATTTCTTTTTTTCTTAACGCATCCATAAATCCATTATTCCTTCACTAAATATTTTCTTTTTCAATCTTCGGGTAAATATCGCATTATGATGAGTCATAAAAAAAAGAAACGCTTTTCTTTTGTATGCGTCACTATGTTCTCAAAACCACGCGAATATTGTCGACATACACGATAAATTCACAATATAATAACCATGAATAATATATATATTTATATATATGTATACACGATATCCAATTTTAATTTATTAATTACAAATATTTCGACAAGCCAAAAAGAAATTTGGATAAATATATATATTCTGTTATCAAAAGTGCACTTACAAACAATCCTTTTCCGAATTGTACATTAAATAAATAAAAAAAGACGAATACCAAATTTTCAATAATGACCATCTTAAAAAAATATATATAAAAAAAGAGAGGACCAAGCGTAATACGTAATATCGAAGAGCCAAGTGTTTACCACGCACAGAACAGTAGAAGATGATAACGAGTTCGAAGCCTCGATAATACATAAAAAGGGGAAGGGGAAAAGACGCGGTATGACGACCCCTGAGGTCGAGCATCTCGCCATTCTTCGTTTGTCAGTTTACTCAGCTGAACTTAATTATCATTGACAGAAGGGGCACGAGAGCGGTGTGCTTGCTTCCGTGGAAATCGCGCGGAACATACGACGGGGAATAAGGAAGGAGATGAGCTCGAGGAAACCGAGAAGGGACTCGGACGTCCTGTTGTCCAAGTTCGGTCACAAGGAGTTGCTGTTCAAGTTCCTCGTAATCGGTGATTATGGAGTCGGTGCGTCCAGGCCGTTTTAAAAATATTTGAAAAATCTGCCGGGGGTCTGCACGGTTTTCGACTCGTTAGTATCATTATATTCAAATACGTATATTGTGAACAGTTAGGATAGGATTATATCCTCCGGTTTTCAAAGTGTTTGTTTGATCATCGTGATTTATTGTCATCGTGGATATTATTGCCAATCGATTCGCTCGAACATTTGTTATTATGGCAATGATATATCGTGCGTTGAGGACGATTCTCACGATTCTCTGTAAATTATTGGGTGTTAGAACTTCGATCGAGACGTTTCGAAGAAAGTTTCTTTGAATAAGATTAGTAAGAGAAATCGGTGTATTCATTGCGCAATTTATTCTTGGTGTAGATTCACGCATGTATCACGAGTAATTTTTCTTTTTTCTTTAATATGATAATAAGAAAAATGGAATGTATAAATATTTGGAAATTATCATTTGTTCATTCATAAAATATATCGGGATTATGTAGAAAGTGTTAATACGTTCCGAGTGAGTGGTTTTTGGAGTGAGTTGATTTTAAACACGTAAAAATGAGTATAAGAATTGGTAAAATAAAAAAAATATCGATCGAGGTTTATTAATGAAGTTATTAAATATTTTTATTCAATACGAGGTGAGGAGAGATAGAACGAGACTTTTTTTTATCTTGCAATTTTGAAGGCAGACTTAATTGATATTAATTTTTAATTGATATGTAATGAGTAATAACACGCATGGATTAATGGATTTTGAAAATTGATTATTTTATTATCATAAATAATAATGTAATTATATTATATTATATTATATTGTTATATTATTATTATTTATAACAAAGAATAATAATTTCTTTTTATTATTGTTTCAGGAAAGACAGCATTGGTTAGAAGATACACAGAAGGTAAGAAAATTATATATAATATATTATACTTAAAAAAGTGAGAAATAAGAGATATTTCGTTCAAAACATCGTATTAAAGACGAGATTACGTCGCGAGATATCGTAATTGCGAATGTAAAGATAATTAATTTTTTATTCTTACAATATATTAAAAAATTAACAATTGTTCTACACCTCGCGTAACATTACGTAATATCCATAATATCCACAATAATGTAATTTTACTTTATCATTTGTTCTTCTCTCAAAATATTTTGAAAAATATATATCTTTAAAAAAAAAAGAAAAAGCGAGCCACAATTTTAAACATCATAATGCCATCGTGTAAAATTCCATTGAAGAATGAAACGTTACGTTTTGAGAATTGCTTCTCAATTTAAACCAGATGATCCCTAATTTTTTATTCATTTATGTACGTAAATAGCAGCATAAGTAATTAAGTATTACTTATATGAAAGTTGCTATATCCACGTAATACTACTCGTCTGCAATCGATAACCTTTTTCATTTTTACTCTTGACCTAATTTGTTAATTGTTGCTTTAATTAAACGTAAAAGAAATACAAAAGAACAATGATACACGTTCGATAATATAAGGAGAGTTAACGATGTTTATTATTTGCTTCTTCTCTGATATTCTATAAATAAACGTTTCAGATTATTATTGAGGTATTTATGGATTTTAAAAGGAATAAAAAAATCTTTTCATCTTTTTGCATTTGTTTTTAACTGGTAACATGTTATAAATGATTTATTGAATTATCATATAATAATACAATTCAATTATATTATCCATAATGTGAAAACAACGGACGTCCCCGCAAATCTCCTCACAGTAATTTTATTGGATCTGATCAATTTTTTTCTCTTCTTGCAGGGAAGTTTACGTCGAATTACAAGATTACCATAGGAGCCGATTTCGCAATAAAAACGCTCGACTGGGACCCTCTTACTAAAATAAATTTACAATTGTGGTACTGTCCTTATTTATTCTGCAATATTCTGTTCAATAAATTGTTGAAATGTAGGATTTATTAAAATATTTAATATCCAATATTTTCATTCAACTTACGTTGCTTAACAAATAAATCTCAATCGACATTTTTCATATTTATTTTAGCTCTTCAAAGAGCTGTTCCTTAAATATAATTCACAGCATTTCATTATATAATTTCTTAATAGTCTTTTTTTTAATAATGTTTGATATAATTTTCCTCTACCTTTAATAAATTTTGCTTTAATAAGGAAAATGTTCAATATTTTCAAAAAATCTTTATTATCGAACTTTTAAGCTATTTTCTCTAGATTTTGTGTATATATATGTATATATAATAATAATTTCGGAATAAAATTTATAATATAATAAAATCAAACATTAAATGTAGTTTTATGGCACTATTTTTATACGACGCATCTTTATTTCATTAATTAATTTTTCGTTTTTTTCAGGGATGTCGCCGGTCACGAAAGATTTGGATATATGACCAGAGTTTATTATAAATATGCGTAAGTATCGCAGCGACCAAGATTAAGTTATGTAAAATTGCAGTAAAACGCATTATTGTTACAAATTGATAGTTTCGGCACGTAATTTTCAGAGTGGCCGCAGCTTTGGTTTTCGATATTTCGCGAATAGCCACGTTCCAATCGATCAAGAAATGGCTGTGCGACTTAAGGGAAAAAGTCACACTTCCGGATGGTTCGAATATACCGGTAGTTCTCTTAGCGAACAAATGCGACATTCCTTGCCCCGTGGTACCGACCGAACAAATTGCCAGGTTTTGCAAAGAGAATAACATTGGCGCTTGGTATGTAACTTCTGCGAAAGAAAATACAAATGTTGGTAAGTATGTATGTAATATTTATTATTGTTAATGGAGAAAATTAAATAACTCTTATAAAAATCGAATAATTTTAATCTCAATATAAATTTTCCAAGAAAGTTTATAAATAAGAATCATTGTTCTCAATTTTTACATAATTTTTATTTTTTATCATTCAATGCAATTATCTATTTTCGCGCTAATTCATTTTCCATTTCTGTTCGCAGATGTGGCGATGCGTTATCTTGTGGAGAACGTGCTCAAAACTAAAATTGACGGAGGAATTCGTGATTCCGTCCGGCTGCGAGACAAACCTACGATCCGAGAAAAGAGCGGATGTTGCAAGTAATCATTTTTCTTTGCGATTTTCAATTAAAAATTCGTGCCATTTATTATGCGACAATATTATTTTCACAATATTCGAAAGAAATTACTTTTTAATGTGATTTTTTTTAATTAATTTAATCTGCGATGCGTATTTTTTATAATATATTTAGAATTAGTCGTATAATTTGTATATCTTAACATGTACATGTTTTACAAATACTGTACTGTTATAAATACTGTACAACGATATGAATATTTTTAATTTGCAAAGAAATTTAGAATATATTTATTTTTAGAATTCTAGAACAGATATTCGCTATTCTTTAACGATTCGAGGTTTTTATACATTTAATAATTGTAAGAAATTCTAAAGACGTTTGTCAATACATTGGATTTTACGAATAATTTTTAATAGATATTTTCCAAAGAAAAATTATATTCTGTTATTTTATTTTCGAATGAATAATATAGAGAATTATTTAAATTCATAAAGAAATTTATTTACTTTGTACCTTGATAATTTTTTATATCATATATAAATTAATACCAAAGAAAATACTGAATAAATATAAAATAAATTTATAACGTTTTAAACTACGAATCTATCTTTAGAATTTATATTTTTTATACAGTGGTAACAAAAATTAATTATGTCATTTTTATGTACACGCATATAACCTTTGGCAAAAATGTAACACTTGTATTCAAGTGTGTGTTAAAAATTAAATATACATGATTTTCTTAATTATATTTCATAATATCTAATTTATCGGTCGACAAATAACTTATTTTATCATTTATTATACAATATTTTTATTAATCCAGATAAATCTAATAACAGCTCAACTGTTTTTTCTTCTTTACTTTGTTAATTATCTGGATTAATTATACTGTTCTCAAGTTTTCCTTATTTACATTCATATTTTCTTCTTTTAATACAATCATTATCTTTTTTTATGGCATTTTTTATATTTCTTATAAAATATATATCTTCTAATAAAATATATATTTCATAATACGTCGAATTCACATCAATAGTGAATATAAAATCAATTAAAAAGTTTAAAATACGTACAGCGAATAATTAAAGAAATAAAATCTAAATATCTAAATGAGTATCTTACTTTAGGTATTTTATATACTTTGCATATTACACGTCCTCCTCCACATTTTGTACATTTAAATTTCTCATAGATGTACAAATATGAACAGTATCCTATGATGTATATTCTTAATGGACTATCTTCATCAGTTTTGTCTCTTCCATCCATTTTGCAAGTTATATAAAACATTCTAAATACTGGCTTTTATCTTCAGGAGTCGATTAATGTCTTTTATACATTTCTCTCCCTCTTCGAAAACAGTCTATTAAAATTACGGTTACTCTTCGAAACGAGAATTTCTTACAGGATTCATGGCGATTGAGACTGTGGATACCATCGTTTTGCTGAAATCTTTCGAATAATCTGAAAAAGAAAACAATACGGACGGAGATCAATTCGTAGTTCTGGTTCTCCTTCGAACGCGTACTTTAACGATTGACGTGTCACACAGCAAGGAAGCAGGAAGCTGTTAATGAAGAAAACCAATGACAGAAGATGATTCATATTCTATAGTTAGCTCGGTTGTAGAATTTTTGAATACATTTTTCTCCTGTAATTTGAAAATCTTGAATATCAAATGAAATTTTCTATTTTCCTTTTTTAACATAATAATAACGTTATTTAATAAAAATATCCCCCTCCCCCCCTGATCTTTTTTCCGATTAATAAAATTTTCTATTAATTAATTAATTTTCCGCTTTATCAAAAAAAAAAATAATAATAATAATATAAGAAATCTCTTGTACAGTAACATTATCGTTATCGATGAGATGCAGATATAAGCAGATACAAGGACGACAAAGAAAAAGGCCTGGAACATGCCCGCGGAACGAATCGCATTCTTAGAAAGCAGCGAATTTGTGCCCTTGACTTACGAAGAGAGCGAGGTGTGGTCGCTTAGCTCGCGTTTGGTCAGAGCTTGGTGAGCGTTACCACGCGACGGTGCTCGAAGTTACCTTGGCCGTAGTCCTGCTGGTGATGATGACCCGGTGCGCTGCTTCCGTAGGGTGAAAGGCTCGCCCTTATCCGCGAACATCCTATCACGCCCGCGTACGCTTGCCTGTATTGTTTGTTCATGATCACGTAAATAATCGGGTTCACGCAGGAGGCGAAGTAGAGCAACAGGTAACCCAAAACGTGAAATTCTGAGAGAGAGAGAAAATAATATAAATAAAATAAATATTATAACGTTTCTTTCAATTTTCTTTAGAACAGTAATATAAATAATGCGCTTGATTATACCTGGATATTTAACTTCGACGTCGGCAACTTTAACAATGGTAATTGGCAAGTAACAAGCAACGAAGCTGAGAAAAATGGCTAGCACCATTTTCGTGATTCGCCACTCGCTGCGTCTCTGTTTGATCTCCCTGGTATCCCTTCCGGGCGTATGAGGGGATTTTATCGTTGGAGTCGCGTGTTTTCGCATTCTTATCTCGGATCTAGTGAAATCAGGAGGAATACAAGATTTGAAAATATGATTTACTCTTATATTTTTGATCGATTATTCTTAGATTGTGTGAACACGAGACGGAAGATATTACGATATTATGTGTCGTGTAATATTCACCTGTGGACCACCCAGAATATTTTAGTATAGCATCCGACAATGATCAGGCAGGGTATTACAAAACCTACCACGAAAAGAAACGTTTTCGATGTGTGACCTCTGCTATCCCTTACGATCGAACAAGTTTCTAAATTCGAATCGTAATCGAATCTGCCTGCAATGTGAAACGAAAATAGGCTTTTAGACTAAGAAAGATGGAATTATGGGTAAAATTGTTTTTTCTCAATTATCGAACTTTTTTAAATTTTAAATGAGAGTATTTTAGATGGAAATCGAACTTTTTTATTTTTCTAAATGGTGAGCATTCTGTCTATTTAATTTAAAAAAAGAATCACTTATATTTTATATTATGTCTCATGTATTGTATCTTACCCCAAATTCCTAACAGAGTGGGTAATTGCATTCCGTAAGAGAAAATCCAACAGAATACAATCATGAAAGCAATCCAATACTTTTTGTAAACTTTGCTGTACAAGCCATTGTGAGCTATCATAATATATCTAAAATAAGAGAAAAATTTTGAAATTTGTATAATATATAAAGTAATCCATAAGTAATCAATAGCAAAGATTCGATTGACGAATCAATTTTTCTGTCATCAAAAAATGATTCAATTGAATTTATTATTTATTAATTTAATAAAATATGAAAAAAAAATAACAAGAAGAACACATTGATATTTTAATAGTGTTATAAGATTAGATACAAAGAATACAATTTAACTAACTGATCCCAACTAATAAGACCAATGTTGTGTATCAGTGGACTATTTTAGAACTAATAAAATGCTAAAGAAAGAACCAAGAAGAATAAAGAAGACGATTTGTTTGTAGAACCATGATTATTGCTTTTTTGAACGGATGATTGAAGAGAACTTGTGTATAGGGTGTGCCAGAATCATATGATACAACGAAACAGAAGATTACTCTACATGTGAAAATAAACTAAAAATTACAAATAAAATTTTTTCGTTTGAAGTTATTTGAAATTATTCGTTTGCACATTTATAAGAACAAGGTAAGGACGAGATTTAATTTTTTACATTATTACTAATATCTCGAAGAAGCACAATTATGAAAAGAAAATGTAAATTGTAATAAAGATATGATCCATACCTGTTGATAGTGATAGCTGCAACGGAGAGAAGGCTTACGCCAACGTTTCCATATCTCAAGAAAGGTACAAGGACGCAGAAGAATCGTACGTCTGCCCAACTCGCATCTACGAATCTGATGGAGTCAAAAGGCAATACGAGAAGGCAAAATACGAAATCTGCTACACAGAGACTGGAATAGAATCAAAATTTTTATTTGATATGATCGTACGTATATGAAAATAATAATATCATGGATACATAATTATAGATGGAGAAAAATGAAGCAGATAATAATATTTTATTCTAATAAAAATTAAGTTTCGTGTAAAAGAGATTAGAATCTTTTTTAACGTAATGATGATTATCGATTTTTTTTTATTTGATGTAATAAGTTTTTTCTTATTACAGATAGAGGATAAAATATAGAAATAATTTTATGTTTTATTATTGTGTACCTTATAATAAAAGCCGCTGCAACATTGCGAACTTTGGGATATTTGCACAATGCAATGATTGTTAACAAATTACCAGTAAGGCCAGTGATCATAATTAATATTGCAATTACAGCTGCAAATGTTCTCAGCGGTTTGGAAAATCTGTGAATAAATATAATATCTTGTTTTAATAAACTTGATGATTTATTCAATTATATTTTATAGATTATACATATATTATAATTATAATTGATATGAATTATATGATATATCTTATTAATTATTTATTATTATTATTCTTGAACATATTAAAGAATAAATAAATAAATCTGTAAGTAAAAATTACATTATATGAATTGATAAAAAGAAATTGAATAAATTTCATGATTGTTTATTAATTGTTTTTAAGATTTTATTGATAAAAGTTACCTTGATATCTCGCCATCGATTATTGCGCTTTCTGTTCTATTTTCAGAACGTAACAACCACGCGAAATTGTCCATTTCGAAAATTTTCACTTTCTTTCAAGTGAAAGATTTATTAGATTTTGATCACGTCCGAGGCCTAAAACAAATAATAATAAAAAAAAAAAAAAATGAGACGTTCTTATGAAAAAGAAATCTAATTTAAATTGATTTTATGAAAATAATTTTACTTATCTTAGAATTAATATTTTTACGAAATGAAAAATATATATGTTTTTTAATAAATTTGTTATACAATAATAATGGAAAAAATAAATTTTTTTTCGAATAACGAAGGAAATATATTCGTGCCAAATAATTTTCTTTATGATTTTTTATGCGCTATTATAAACGCAGAACATGAATTCCCACGAAGAGGAAACCGCGACCTAAACTTTTGGCGTGATCTGCAATGCATGACGTAAAGCGGAAATCACGATGCTGCTTTGAAACAATTTCCTGAACCGAATCAGAATCAAAATCTGTTCGATAAAACGATTTAATTCGATTTCGACCTATTTACGCAACTATTGCGTAATAGGAAATTTGATAAACGGTTGCTTCGTGGAAAATTATGAGAAATCATCAATTTTGAAGAATAAAAATTTACCACGAAATAATTTTAAAATGTACATCTACAAAGTATCAAACGTTAAGTATCGATATTTCTAGTAATATAAGTATATAAGTAAGATATAAAATAGATTTTTTTAATAATATGATTCATTGACAATTAATAAATTTAAAGATCTCCCTCTCT